GCATCAGCCTGATGGCAGCGGGTTCGGTCTGGAGGGGCAACATGAAGGAACCCTGGTGCCGCAGGGCTGCCGGTTGGATTTCCACCCGCAAGGTCAGCAGTGAGAACCCCCGGCGGCTCTCCCATCAAGACGGACAGCTTTGGGAACTGACGGGGCCGGCTCCACTCCGTCCTGCCCTCTAGGCTCACTGTGAGTCAGAACTGGGGGTGGCTTTAAAGTTTTCGTTTGATTTTTAACAAATTTTTTGAGTGCCAAATGAAAAGGGGAGGCCCTGTGCCCAAGTGGGTAAGAACTTTGAGAGAGCAGATGATTAAGCGAGGCCGGGCTGGGGTCGAGTCAGGGGGCAGCATCTGCGTGTGGGACCCTGTGTGACGAAGGGCCAGCCCTGCCTGTGGGATTCTCCGTAGGGAAGGAAGTGGTTGAAATGGGTTCTTCATACCCGTGGTGGTTCAGAGCCACTGGTCGCTCTGAGGGAGAAAGGCGGGCAGTTTGCACCTGTCTAGCTCTGTGGCCTTGGAGACACTGGGGCAGTCCTGTGCTGTCCCGCAGGGTCCCTACAGGTTGGGATTGATGGCAGTGAGTCTGGTTTGGTGTTGGTTGACTCCCAGACCTGCTGCTGCAAGGTGGATTCCGGCTCATGGCCATCCCCTTGTGACTGAGCAGAACTGCTCTCTGCGACGGGACTTCTCCACTAGCATCGTAGCGGCAGCAGACCAATAGGCCTTTCGTCCTCAGCACACTGGGCAGGCTCAAGCGCTTAAGCTTTAGTTCACTGGTTGAGCACAAACCGTTGGCAGTGCCCCTTGACCTTTGGCCAACCCCCGGAAACCCCCGAGTCTACTCACTCCTTTTTCCGCCGGACGGCTGTGTGGGCCACACTGGAGACAAACACGATGGCTATCAGGCCAATGACAACGCCGAGGCCGATGCCCGTGTTTCGGAGAATGGCTGCCCTCTGTGCCTTCTCTCCTGTTTAAAAACAAGAAGCAACCAGAAGGGTTTTTAATTGCCCGATTATTAAGAGGCTGTGCCGGGGGTTCATGGGTCCCCGGGAAGCTCGCTATTCAGGCACCGTGACCATGAACTGTGCAACTGAGATGCCCATTTAACCCAGGGAAGTGCAGTGGTACAGAAAACTTACAGGTAAGTGGCTGGAAGCTGATGGACTAGATATAGCCCATTTGCCGAATGACCCCTTTGCCTAATGGCCAATTTACTCAAAGACCCATCTGCAGGAAGCCACTTCGCTGGAAATCAGCCGGAGGAATGGCCTGCCTTTCAGTTGCTGGCAGCCAGTCCTCTCCCTCCCGGGTCACAAAGGGACACAGGCTGGGGCCAGGAGCAGCTGGAGCAGAACTTTGAAACTTGAAAAACAAACACACAAACCCACCCAAGCCTCAGCCATTTGGTGAATGGGTTGTTGGTCTGGGGCACTAGTTTTCTGCAGAATGACTGACTTCCCCAAAGTTTCCCAAGGTGACAGAGGGCAGTGGCCCGTTGAGCGGGCCCCCACCCCATGGACTGTTGGGATCCATGCGTTTTTCACGGTTTGCATTTGGGGACAAGATCACCAGGATTTCATTCTAGTCTGTCCCTGTCTGGAAACTCCACTGAAGTCTGTTCAGCATGCTAGCAAAACAGCCTTCCACAGGCAGTTTGGATCAAGAAGAACCACCAGACTCGCTGCCATCCAGTTGATGCCCACTTCCAAGACCCAATAGGACAGGGCTGAACTGTCCCTCGGGTTCCCAAGACTAACTCTTTACAAGAGTAGAAAGCCCTGTCTGTCTCCTGAGGAGTGGCTGGTGGTTTTGAACTGCTGACCTTGTCGTTAGCAGACCAGGGCTCATGATTAGATCAGTAGATAGAAAGAAAAGCAGGTAGGTTAGACAAGAAGATGATAGATGGGTGGATAGATAGGTAGTAGACTGACTGCTGGCAGGACACCACACTGACAAATCATGGATGGAACCCCAGGCTCCAGAGAGAAGCCTGTCCTTCCTGTCGTGCATGGAGACCTGCGTAATACAGGGTTTGGGGGCCTGAAGGATTAGCAACTTCATTTTACAGGAAATGCTGTGTTTTTTTGGGGGGGGGGCACTAGTAGCTTAAGGAAGGCTGATGACCTTTGTCCAGAAGGGACGTATTGGGGGTAGACCCCACTTCAGCTTTCCGGAGGGCCAGAGAGGCCAGAAGGAGCCCTGGCAGCATAATGGATGAAGTGTTGGGCTGCTAATGCACGGTCAGCAGTTCAAACCCACCAGCCCCTCCTTGGGAGTAAGATGAGGCTTTGGGCTCCCCTAAAGATTTATAGCCTCAGAAATCCCACAGGGGCAGTTCTGCCCTGTCCTATAGGGTCACTATGAGTTGGAATCAACTTGATAGCAGTGAGTTGGGAGTTTGGTTTGAGAGGGGCCACTACCTGACTTCCTCTATGGAGCCTTGCCCTTCGCCAGCATGCACCAGGAGACATGTCATCAGCTGTATCCATCCATCCATCCATCCATCCATCCATCCATCCATCCATCCATCCATCCATCCATCCGTGCGTCTCTCTGCCCTCTCTGGTCAGCTGTTAAGATCCTGCCCCAGGGCTCTGAAGCTACTGGAACTGAGCATGGTTCTGCTTTGCCTTTGGCTACCCCCTTGGGAGGTCACTTCTTGGAATCTCTTCCTATCTCCGGGCTACTTTTCCATCTCACCTGCCTGCTGGTCACTAGCCTCCAGCAGCATGTCCCAGGTGACTGCCAGAGAGCCATTGTGTGGCTCGGGGGTGATCCCCAGGATTCTGCACATCAGGGGGTAGATGTGGATGCTGTCGAAGGGCTCGGCCAGGTGATTCTTCTTGAAATCTGGCCCGAAGGCTCTGAAGATGGTCTTCATCTCCAGGAGGTCGTTGTCGAAGCCATGGTCCCCTTTGTTGAAATAGATGATAAGCTGCTGTGAACGGACAAGAGCAATAATCACTTAAGATGTCAGATGCCAGTCACCTCAGCGAAAGCCACGAGAGCCCGGAACATGCTGACCCCAAGGACACCGCCCTCTGCATGTCGCCTGAATTGCGGTGCTGGAGAAGAGTATTGAAACCACCCCGGGCCGCTCCAAGGACAAACTGATCGGTCGCGGAAGAATTGCAGCCAGAGTGCTCCTTACAAGCCGGGACGGAGAGACTCCGTCTCACATGCTGTGGACATGTTGTCGGGAGAGGGACATCATGCGTGGTCGAGTGGAAGGGCAGCGGAAATGAAGAAGGCCCCCTGGAGGCGGCTTGACGCGGCGGCCGCGTGGGACAGTGGTGATGGTGGCGCAGGGCCGGGCGGCGGGTCGTTCTCTTGTAGTGCAGGGTCACTGGAGCTGGAGCTGACTCGGCCCCCACGAGCCACACCTCTCCGACTCACAGGGACCCTCCAGCGCTGAGGACAACAGTCCCCTCCCCCCAGAGTTCCTGAGGCTTTTCGGACGGCCTCGTCTTTCTTCCGCTGAGAGGCCGGTGGGTTCGAACGGCTGAACTTTCGGTTAGCAGCCCATCGTTGAGCCCACTGGGCTCCTTGGCAGACAGAGTAGAAGGAACGAGAGACCTTTAAGGGAGAGAATTTAAAAAAAAACAAAACATACTCGCTAGGAACAGTAAGAACAAAGGGTGGTGACCATAGCAACAATTATAAGGTGAGACAGGTGGTGTGGTCGATCTGTACAGGAGCAGACTGCCTCTTCTTTCTCTCTCCCCGGTGGGTTTGAACCCTTGACCTCTTGTTCCCAGCCAGGTGCTTTAACCACCGCACCACCAAGATTCCTCTCCTGAGATCTACTTCAGACGCAGTACCCACAACCACTTTAGTGTTTTCAGTATGCCCACACAGTTGTGCAACCAGCAGCAGGGCCAATCGGAGAATGCTTCCAGCACCCCACAAAGAATGCACCCCCCCCCGCTCACCCGCCACCATGTGCCCATGAGTGGTCCCTGCCCATGGCTCCCCAGCTCCATCGGCTAGCTCTGTCCTCGTGGGCGCTGTTGAGTGCCAGAGTAGAGCATCCACCTACCCCATTAAGGTTGTACCCCGAGTCGCCGAACATCACGATGGGCAGGACACGCTTGTGCTTGGCAAAATGGAAGCGTTCTGGGAAGTCCTCCTTCTTGAAGACGTGGAGGTGAGGGTGGGCGTCCTTCAGCGCCTGGTAGGCGGCCTCCTCCTGCCCCGGTATGGGGAGCAGCATGCCGAAGCCGCCGTAGTCCACAATGTCAAACTTGACCAGGTCCCGGAACTTGATGTAGTTGGTCAAGAGGATCTCGGTGACGTTGGGCCGCTTCTTCACCGTGGTCATGCCGTGGTCCGACGTGATGATGACGTTGAGGTGCTCGGCCAGGCCGTGCCTCTCAATGGCCTCCACCAGGTACCCGACTGTCCTGTCGATTTGCCGGATCATCACCCTCCTCTCCTCTGTCTCGGGCCCCACCCGGTGGCCCACGTTGTCTGGCTCTCCATAATAGAGGGTCACGAAGTCGAAGTCCTCCTGGGTGAACCAGTTCATGACGATGTCGATGTTCTCCCTCCACTCTGTCTCGTTGTCGTCAGGGTGGTTATAGGACTCCACCAGGGCCCGCTGGACTGCCTCACCGTCATACTTGGCGCCTCCCCCCGGGTAGTGGAAGGACGCCGTTTTCCTCCCCTGCAAATGAAGAAGAGAAGCCCATCAGGGTCACCCCACATGTCGTTCCCAACCAAAACCAAATTCACTGCCACTGAGTGGATGCTGGCTCACAGCGACCCTGTGAGTTTCTGAGACTGTCACTCGTCACAAGAGTAGAAAGCCTTGTCTTCCTCCTGAAGAGCAGCTGGTGGTTTCAAAATGCTGACCTTGTTGTTAGCAGCCCAATTCATGACCACGCCGCCACAGGCCCCCCCTCAGGCTGGCAGGTGCTACAAGGGAGCTGCAGCAGTGGCCCGCCGTGGCAGCCATCATGAAGATGGGCAGGACCGGGCAGCATTTTGTTCTGTGGTAGGTATGGTTGCCAGGAGGCAGGGCTTCCAAGACAGCAAAGAACAGAAATCACCACTGCAGAGCTGAACCAGGAACAGAATCCCAGCACTGCAGAGCTGAACCAGGAACAGAATCCCAGCACTCCAGAGCTCCCAGAGGCACGGTCAAGATCTCCCCCTAGGAGATCCATCCTACCTGATGGGATTTCCCGAGCTCTGGACACCCCCTCGTACAATCCAGTGACATGATGACAGTCCTCAAGCCAGGCTATCCTCCCCAGTGGTCCACCCCTCCCCTCTTTTGGGCTCCTCCCCTCCCCTGGGCTCCTCCCCTCCCCAATGGCTCCTCTCCTCTCCTGGGTGCCTCCCCTCCCCAATGGCTCCTCTCTTCTCCAATGGTTCCTCCCTTCCCCAATGGCTCCTCCCTTCCCCAGGGCTCCTCCCCTGCCTCCATGAACTCACAACTCCTTAAGTTGCCTTTGCTGTGGTCAGTCTCGGCTTCCTAGTAAGCTCTTTGACGAGCACGAAGACAGTTTTCACTCCTTAAGCCAAACTCTGTTTGGCCTTCAGAAGACTTCAAGGCAGTGGTTCTCAACCCCTTTGGGGGTCGAACCACCCTTTCACGGGGGTCACCCGATTCATAACAGTAGCAAAATGACAGTGATGAAGAAGGAACAAAAATAATTTTATGGTTGGGTGCCACCACAACATGAGGAACTGTATGAAAGGGTTGCTGTGTGAGGAAGGTTGAGAACCTCTGCTTCAGGGCATAGTCCTGGTGTAGGGTTTTAAGGGAGACCTGGTGGAGTAGCGGTTATGTGCTGGGCTGCTAACTGCAAGGTCAGCAGTTTGAAACCACTCCTGGGGAGGAAGACGGGGCTTTCTACTCCTGTAAAGAGCTACACAGTCTTGGAACCCACAGGCCAGTCTACCCTGTGCTGTCGGGTCACTGTGAGTCGGCATCGACTCGGTGGCAGTGAGCTTGGTTTGGGTTTGGAAGGTTTCAGGTGGATGTGTTTTAATGTCAGAGGTGGCGATTTGCAGGATGGGGAGGGAGGAGTACGGAGGGAAGACGGTCCTGTCCAAGTTGGTGATGCTGAGCGAGTCCTTTCACCTCTCAAACCCAAACCCACGGCCATGGAGTTCATTCCGACTTGCTGTGCCTCAGCGTGCCGCTCGGTAAAACCACCGGAGGTGCCTCGGAAGAAAGTCCTGGCAATCGGGCCACCAGAAGCTAGAACTGGAACACACCTGTCAGAGCCAGCCCTTGACTTGCTATTGGCCAACTGCATGTTGAAAGTGCTTGAGGCTCATCCTCTTCCATGGGTGACACTAAATCGAACCCACACTTTCTGCTTCACCCACAGACACAATAACGAGATTCTGTCCGCCTCTGGGCTCCAGCATCTATTGGAGGCCTCAGCAGGTGGCATGCTTCCTTCCTAAGAAGAGCGCTTCTCTGGGTGCTTGACCTGTCAGCACCAACAGCTCACTGCCATCAAGTCGGCCCTACTCACAGCGACTCTCTAGGACAGAGTAGTTACGACCATGTCATCAATGGCAAAAGTGAGGTTTGCGATTGATCCGTATTTTTGCTTTAAATGTGCTTATTGAATATCTTTCTCTTGTTCATGTATAATATACCAGATACAAGTAGGTTCAGTGTGTTTTCATCTATATGTATGCTATCTATATGATATGGGGTGTAAGAGTAATTTCATGAATGTTTGGAAATTATAGATGACTCAAGAATTGTATACTAGTGCCAACTTGGCAAGGGGTGGACTGTGATAGGTTTACTGAGCCAATTAGGCCTCCATAGGAGCATGTGGGTGAAGTTTAATCAGGTCACAGCTTGATTGGAGAGTGGCTGAGATCAATGCTTTCCAAGGCCGGCATCCCATCTTTGTTTCTCCCTGGTGATCAGACCAGTGTGCTGCTGCTTGAGAGCTACTTCTTTGCCCCAACCATGTGCTGCACTACCTGTGGGCTGAGCGTCGCGACGGGTGGATGAAGTTTTTCTTTGAGACCCGCTTCTCCACACTGCTGGTGGAGCTGCTGGTGAATTGTGTAGACGTGTGTACTTTGTTGAAGCTCAAGATCCCCCTGGGGCCTGCTTCACGATGCTCCTGCACCACTGACTGTTGCTGCCCCACCCTGCCATCTGTGGGCAACTTTACCCGTCTTGCCTGAGGGCAGACTTCGCTGTCTGCTCCCTTGATCTTGGACAGGCAGCCCAAGTGAGTTGAAGGACCTTCAGTAGATTAACTGTTCCACAAAAGTGAACTGAGCCCTCTGTACTGTTGTGTGGACTGATTAGCTGTTATATGCCTTCTCACTGTATAAACATATGTTTCTATATATGTTTCTCTAGAGAACCCTGCCTAACACAATGGGTTTCCCAAGCTATCAGTCTTTACAGGAACTGGCAGCCTAATCTTTCTCCTGTGGAGCAGCTGGTGGGTTCAAACTGCTGACCTTTTGGCTAGCAGCCTAGCTAGAAGCCACCAGGGCTTCTTTTATCTTACGCCTTCTCTAATGTTTGTGGTTTGCCTTCCTGATGGGCGTTAAACAGGATGTTTAGGGTATTTATTTGGGTTTGTTTGTTTTCTCCTTTAATGGCCCTTTGTTTAACATCTGTGTACATTGAATACACCTTGAGTTATGGAATGGATTCCAATCAAAACCCAAACTCACTGCCATCAAGTCAATGCTGGCCCATAGCATCCCTCCGAGACAGGGTAGCCCCCCACCCCACCTTTGGGTTTCCCAGACTGTAACTCTTTATGAGAGTAGACATCTTAATCTTTCTTCCACGAAGCGGCTGGTGGCTTTGAACTACTGATCTTGCGGTTAGCAGTCCATAACATAACCCACCAGGGTTTCTCCGGGAATGGCTTAGGGGGATGAAAGTGCTAAAGTTGTGCAGAACATCGCTTGATTGGCTATTTTGTTATCAGGAATAAGCTGACATTGGCATTAGGTTGGGTGGGGGTGGCGTGGAGGGAGATAGATGGATTTAATCTCCTGACGCCTTCATGTTCCATCTCAGATGCCCCCAACCCCGGGGAATGAACTCCAGTGAGGGTACACACACGTGTGCGTACACACACACACACACACACACACACTCCCATCCTCTTACCTCTGTTTATTTGGGACCCCGGGGAATGAACTCCAGAGAGGGTACACACACGTGTGCATACACACACACACACACACACACACACACACACACACACACACACTCACACACACTCCCATCTTTTTACCTCTGTTTATTTGGGACCCATGATAATCAAAAGTGCTAATTCCCCACCAATACGTGTGAGAAATAATCTGAACACTTAAGTGGCTGCTGAGGGGTGTGTGTTTACGGCTCTCCCCGGAAATTAGCATACTCAGGGTTTTCTGCCTGTAAGGCAGTGGGAAAATCACCAGCTTGATGAGGCTTCTCTTTCTGCCCCAGTGCCCTCTCTCCTCGCCATGACCATTACGCCCCAGCCATGCCTGACAGCCGGGTGCTTCTTAGGGCCCACTCCACCCTGGAGAGCGGGCGCCGCAGAGACACTTCCCTCTGGGTGGGCACTGCACCCGTCTCCTCCTTGGGGTGACGGAACCAGAGCTCAGGGCCAGGAAGGGGCAGGAAGAAGGAAGGACAGCGGCTGGGTGGGGCGATGAGGGGGGAGCACTGCTCCTCTGAGGGCTGCCCGTCCATGTCACAAAACAACATGTGCACAAATGGCTGAGCAAACAGTGGGTTTGTTCGGAGATGTTCAGAATAAACATGACAACAGAATAAAAACACAAGAGAATTACCACCTCCAAAGCAAAGCAAAGACAAACAGAGGCCCTCAAATGACCCCTCCTGCCTCACACAGGCCCGTTCCTGAGCTCTTGCTGCTGGGTGCACCCAGGGTGCTGAGTCCTCTCATGCAAGCATCCTGCCCAGGCACGCCCGTTACCTCC